TGGATCCGCATAGAGATCCTGTCCCTCCAACGCGTCGGATTGATTCGTATGTATTGAGCAATGATTGGCGGATCAAACCGATTGATGACTACATTGTTTCCATCGGAGTTGCCTTTAAATAGCTGTTTAAATACAGCAATCAAATAAAAAATCTCTAATTAGTATAAATTACATAACATTTAAATAAAAAATAAACTTAAATAAAGAGATAACGAATCAAAACAAAAGTTAGCAAAAAGTTTGTGCAAAACAACCGAAAGTTAAAATAAAAAAAGTATAACAAATGGTTAGTAAGGAGTGAATGCCTGCTCATAGCCCTCGGAGTCAGAGTAAGCCATTCTCCAGAAGTCTCCGCCATCGCTGAGTAACAGATAGTATTGACTAACGTATTCATTAGTGAAAGCTCTGCCTTGAATCGCGATCGCCGTTATGTTATAAGTATTTCCCAAATCAATGGTCAAGTGCTGCAAAAAGTCACCCCTTTCTGCTGTCCAACAGGACGGACCTAATCAGTGATTAGTGTTAGTCATAGAGTCATAGAGTCATAGATTAGTGAGAAATGTTTGTTAAGGTATGTGTTAATTGAAACGAGAAATCATTGAAATGATTAGAGAAGTTATGGAAAGAGTGATATTCAATGCAAGAATGCATTAATGGTTAGAATTGAGAGACAAGTGATTAATGTTTGATTCGCGTTAAGAACTGCAACTGTCGACAAAGTTTGTTGACAGGGGATGTCCACCGATCCGTGTGGGCGACCCCATAGGACAGCGTATATTAACCTTAATGTTGCCGTTTCTGTCGCGATAGACAGAGAAGTCGTGTCCATCGATTCCGGTCTCTAATTTGAATTCCTGAACGAATTCTTTGGTGTGTTGTCTGCCCTGAGAGCCGATGGCAGAGATGTTGTACTGTCGGCCCAAATCGATTTGCAAGTACTGCGAGAAGTCATTTTGCGCCGCCGTCCACACCGACCCCTCTGTTTCGGTCACCATTTCATTAGTCAGTCAATTGTCATATAATCGCATACAGAATACCCTCTTATCTTATCTCTAATCTATAAGTTTGTTACATTCATATTGAATAGTCTTATCATTACTATGAATCCCATATTAGTATGTAATCCAAGATACTATGAAAAATGTTTTACAATGAGATATAAATAGAGTTTGATTTGTTTAGTCAATATCTCGAGTGATTGTGTATCAGATGTCTGACACTAATTCATCAAATAAATTGTTTTCAATGCAAATAAACTTCAAGTCTTCACACACTTCTCATCAATTAATGTCCGGATATAATGATAACATGATATCGCGTTTAAGGGGAGGGTATGGGTGAGAGGGTGTGTACTGTCGGGGGTATACTTGCCGTGAAGTACAGCATATTTGGGCGCCTTATCGGCACTGACTTGTGATGAGGCACTCAATTGGGCGGACGTACGGCCTATCAGCTCGTGATTGCAGTAATTGTCGCCTAATATCACACATACAGTGAGTTATCAATCAATTGTATTCATAATTCATTCACAAATTATACTCACATTTAATGCAAACAATTAACACATTCAACAGTAATAGTCGTAATGATAATAATGATGTGATTTGTGGTGATTTATATGTCCAATAATTTATATGTAAATACATTTTCAATGCTATTTATTGTATATTTATATTGAATACTATGATTTAGTAAAACATGTAAAATATTGGTCTCAAAAATACTAAAAATACTAAATTGTTTACAAATAGCGTGTAAAAGTCATATCCAAAAATCGCACAATTCAAACATGGTACTTTTGATTATCATTTAGAGATTCATTAGTCATAAAAGTGTATATAAATAGCGTATAAACTCTACATTCATCTAAACCCTATGGACTGAATCACATAATTAAGGTGTGATTACAAGTGATGCACAAATGGACACAAAATCGGTTCACAAATCATGTAATTGTCATACATTTGAAGGCATCGCACAATAGGTGTGTCTCTCATACCACATATAATACGTCTAAACACTACACACATAGGCTGTTGGGTTGTGCGGACAGGTATGTTGTGATGGTTTGTTGCGAGAGCACAGGTAGGGTAGCGGTTGGTGTGACTACATTCCCCTCATAACGTAACGTAAGTTTAAGCGCTTGTGTTAATCGTTGTGTTTATTATGACAAACATATCGTTAGCATTGGATTCCTGTTTGAATTTGTTTTGTTTGTTATTTCCTATGAGAAGTGATTCATTGATTCAAAATAAACACTCACTCTATGTCTCAGTCATTGAATATTTGTATACAAATTCTTGTCACCAATGCTTGCGTTCACTGAATATTCTGTAGTATTGTACAGTATTTCATATCTAATAGTTTTGCTTAACATTAGTGTTATAAACAGTTTTAGGTTTTCTAAATAAACACTTCCTATGCTATTATAATCGTGTATTTCTTATACTAATTAGAAATTTAGTTATGGTTTTATTTTTATTTCAAAATTTGAAATTCAAATTCTTTGACTAAACAACTAGTTTTTGCCTATTTTATACAATTGTAGAAATTTTATTTTAAATTTCCCGAGACTTCTGTTTAAATAACAGTTTAATTGTCAAACAAGTATTTTGATAAATAGTATTAAAAATTATTTTTAAATGCAGTTCTTGTGTGAGTAAACGTTTGAACAAAACATTTATAGTATATTTAGTCTACAAATGGATAATAAGTTAGATAACAGATTCTTGTCTAACATATTATCAGTTCATTTGCTTCATAAACACCGTTTCCTATCAATTGTCTAATAATTCCCAAACAACTCATGTTTACATTACTCTCATTTTATTTAACCGTTTATTTAATTTATATGAATTTCATATAATAATTTGATTGTAATTTCAATAAATTAATACTCAAACAATAAACACAAATGTTATAGTTGAAGTTATGTCACACAACTTACAGTTAGAAATGTGTGAATAAAACTCAATTATAAACAATAATTATATTAAATATGAAAATATTAATCTTGATGATAGTTGTAGCCTTGAAATTGAAATAATACTCATTTAGCTTTACTAACAAATTCAATGTAGTCTCAATAAAATCATTAATAACTTAAAGTTATAAACTATTTAACTGTTTCAATAGTGCACTAGTCATACCCTAACTTTACATAAAATGTTATATTTGACAGACAAGTGAAATTAGTAAAGCCGGTTAAATTGGCCCGGGGTTAAAGTGCTTGAGACCGGTATTACATTGAGAACTTAAAAGTGAAAGCAATGCAAACATAAGGAATAGTTTGAGTGCAAGAACCGTACGAAAAGTGCAGCAAATAGTGTATGAAATGCAAGTATACAGACAATTATGAATACACGAGTCATTACAGTGTTATGTTATGCGAAACCATTCATTTAACTCCTGGGAAAATTCCATTAAATTATAGTCAAAACATTTGCCTGAATCGACTCAAATCAGAGCTGATATGTGTTTTGTCTGTTAGAGTATTCGCAGAAAACAACTTTCAGATCAACTTTTTAGTGCCTCTCATGTCAAGCGAAATAACTTTTTATTAAAGTCTGAGTTTTATCGCAATTTTAGTTTTAATTTTTTTGGTGTTTATTACAGAAAACTTATGAATTCATAGTGAATATCATAATGGTTTCCGTCGGTTATTATATTAAACGGACAATTCGTGCGATTATCGACATATTTGTCAGAATAATCGGATTATTATATCCGTCTAATCAGCGATACTTACCGCCCATTACTGACAGACTTTTGTTGGAACCGGCGATCAATTTAGTGAAACGTATCCAAACTGGACAAGTATTACATTATTTGCAAAATTAAATTTAATTTTAACATTAATTTTACATAAACTTTTAGCTAAAAAGTGAAGATCTGGTCAAAGCATACATCGATCGCATCAAAACTGTTCAGGTATTCAATCGATTATATGATTAGTTCACAAAATTAAGTATATTATACTTGTACTACATATCAATTATCTAATCCATATTAGTTTTAATCTAATGTTATTATAATTGTGTATTAATTTCAACTTAAATTAATATTTTAATAATGAAAATATATTTAAAGCATATTTCAAATGAGGAAATAATTGCTTAAAATTCAAACTGAAGTGAAATAATAGCATAAATTTCCCTTATTTTATAGAATTAAAATACTGTATAAATATTCATATACCATAAAAAGTTATAAAAACTTTTATTGATTGTGTCGATAGCCTCACATAAATGCTGTGATCGATGAGCGCTACGAACTGGCCATAGAAGATGCCAAAGAAGTCGATAAACGGGTCACTCACGAGCTACAGGGCAATGAACCACTCAATGGAGTGTCCATTCATTCACAGCCATTGTTAGGCATTCCGTTTTCGGGCAAAGATAGCATAGCCATCAAAGACATGCTATATATGGCCGGATGTCCCGCACGGAAAGACATCCGCGCGACAAAGGATGCGCCATCAGTGGGGCGTTTGAGAAATGCCGGCGCTATAC